TTTATCTTTTTCTGCTCTCTACATATATATGAGTTTTGGCAGGCAGAATTTTCATTGATCAAAATCAAAAGGAGAAACATTTTAAAACAAACAGATTTTAAAAACCCAGATATTTTAAGCAGTATGAAGAGCTGATGATTGGGGCCCTTTCTTAGAAAAAAGATGGCAATAAAATACTAGAATTCTTTTGCCATCCAAGAATCATATTTGTTGTTAAAGCCAATAGTTTTTCCTTGTTAGGTACTGGGGAATCTGAGCTTTCTCTCCACCATGGGAGTATTCCCCTAAGTAAACAGAGCTCAGCCTGTAGTCAGACACCAACTAAATAAAGAGCCATCTTTTAATAGCTGAAGCCCGTGATGCTGAACAGCCCCAGTGGACAGAGATAAGCTGAGAAAGAAAATTGGTTGATTTCAAGAAAGACATGGAATCACCCTCTGGGCTGACCCAAGTTGTTTCAGATGATGAGTGGCTATGGAGGTGACAAACTTTATTGGCTGGAAAGAAATATAGAGAAAATACGCTTTGTTTGCTTCTTAGTGAAAAAAAAAATGTGCATAGTGAATTTCCTCCCTAAGATTGGGGTGCGTAGCCTGCTGACAGTTTCCTAAATAGATCATCTATAGAGAAGTAAAGACTATAGAGCCGTCTTAAGCCACATGTCTAAGTAATTCTAAATAGAGAGCCCAGGAAATCGAGACATGAAAGGAAAAGATCCTTTCCTTACACTTTTTTTTTTATCAGTTTCTTCTTAGTGCCTACTTATCTCCCTCATACTAACCCATAATCCTTTACTGGTTTTAGTCTCCTTGCATATCTGACCATCCTGGACAGGGTCTGCTCTACTCAAGAAGAGTCTCAGTATTAGGCATTATCACTTGGTAGGGAACTAAGGGCATCACATGTGAACAGTTTAACTTGTTTTTATTTAAGCACTTTGAAATTCCACATGAGTCTATGATACTGGTACCAAGCCGACTTTGTATTTGACCGGGCAATAGTGATACATGAAATTTGCTTGCAAAGTCGAAGATGGTATCTTTCATCTCTGTCAGAACTTAAGCACTTAAAGATTATTTAATTTCATATTTACTCTTGTACTTTCTTCTCCAAGGTTGTTCGTTGTATTCCAAATAAGTATGGGAGAAATTTTAAAGTGTACTTTTCTGTTCGAATGTCAATGACTCAAACTGTTCTGGGTGTGTTTGCATCCAAGTCATTGTACCAGCTATAGACTCATGTACCCAAGAAGCGATTTCTATATGGCAGCAATCTCCAGAAAGTATTCTCCATGTTGAAAATTCAGGGAAGGTATATTCCTTGTTATTAGGGTATAGAACTTTACTATGAAAATAAGAATCTTTCTTTTAATTCAATGCTAATAATCGAAGTCATAAAGCATGTCAAACATACTAATTTAATTAACAATGCCACAGATTTCTGGGATTGCTAACCAGGTGAGCAAAATAAATGAAGATTTGAATCATATAAAAAGGAAAAAAGCCAATAGATTTTGGGATATACTATGGCTGATTTAGCATTACCATCGATATGCACTCCCCCTCCCCTTAACTTTGCAAAAATAATAGGAAATGGAAATTTTGTTATGTTGTTTACAATCTGAACTGAAATGTATCAAAACAAGGATGGGTTAGATGTCTTTTTTTGAAATAATGTATTTATAGAGTTTGACCAAAGATTAACAGCTAAGATTCTACAACTCAGACGAATCAAAAGATACTGTGGTAACACAAAATTGACTTTTAATGTTTGTTTACCAGTTCATTGTATCTTACAGAAAATGAAAACATTTTTTTTTTTTTGGTAATACAGATTGGTTCTTCTCAGATTTGTACTCAGTAGGTATTAAATGCCTTTAAATACTGGTTTTTCTTTTAATCAGGTGGTTTAATGACTTCTGAATTTTTCATTCCTTTTGTTGTACGTCATAGCTGCTCTGGCAGTAGTGAGCTTTGTTACAGTTCACTTCTCAGCAAAACTCTGTCATATCCATTGATCCTTCTTGATGCATTCTCTGCTGAGAACCGATAGGCAATTCCCTTCCACTCCTGCCCTCCTCAGTGGTCATCTACTCCGTGGGACCACCGTACTCTTTGGAGCACTGAAATCAAGAAACCCAGTATGGCTGCCAGCAACCAAATTGGAATCTCCTTTGAGTCTACTTCTAATTGCCAAAATAATAAGCAACTATATTATTGCATAAAATAAAGCTTAAACAGGTACCGGCCCCCTTTCTATGACAGAAGGTTTAAATTTACAAATACCATATTTGACTAAAAATTACTGTGACAAAATATGGCAGCAGTCATTTAAAGATGGTTTCCAGTGTTAATATGACTTACTTTCAGTCCTTTTCCTTCTTTCATGTGAATCATTTCTTTTTGTTGGTGTTCTCAAATGCAGGTGTCTCAGTGAAGTTTGCAAGTTAGCTTTGTTCCTTATATGGGCCACAATTGTTAATTATGGACAAAATGGTCAAAACAAGATTTCCTAACCCAGACTCCCACCTCATCCCTCTGATACTCTTGGAACCCAAGTCTGAGGAGTAATTTCTGAATTTGCCAGTGCTGCACTGAGTTTCTTTTAGGAACTGTATGTATTAGGATAGCTTTTCTTTTTTTAGAAATCCTCAATGTGGTATCTTGGGGAATGACGTAGGAAAATAGACATTGATGGAAAAATGGTAAAATAAGAACATTAAAAAAAAAAAAACCCTTATTCAAGTAGGAGTCCAAAGGGGTAAGGGGATTTTGATCCTTTGGGGGAAGTCAGAAGATAAAAATTCTGCCCAGCAGTATTCATTCTGTTAAGATTTTTTTTTTTTTTTTTACAAGCATGGAAAAATGGTGTGCAATCAGTATAGATTTTAATTAGCTAACAGTCACTCCAGAGATTTTGAACAGCACCAATTCCAATACTAGTAAGTATTCAAAAGTTAAGAAATGCTACTATGCTTAATATTATAAAGGCAGAGTTCTGCAGCAATCACTGAAAATTACATATCTGCTTCAATAGAAATGTGTTCCCACTTGCATTTCCGATAAAATTCTTGTGATGTGGGTCCTAATCTTTCAAGTATGGGCTCCCTCCAATATGCTAACCCCCATGTTTGAGGTGTTAAAGTTGGTATTTTGGAGATAGTCCCCTCTTTAAATCATGTATCCATCTTATCCTAAACCATTCAGGTATTTTCAATTTAGAAGTTTGAGTTCTAGTCGTATCAGCAGTGTTTGAGTTAAACTTTACAATCTCTTTGGATTTATATTTTTGTACAATTTGCATATCCAACCTAATGTAAAAACGTGCATGCATACATTGTCCTCTTTTAATATTAAAGCATCTGAAATTTCCCAGATATGCTTCGATAAAAGAAATGACCTACTTTTATTTACAATATTTTCTCTAGATAATGTATGGATATAATTATGGTTTCATGGGCTTCCAATTGTTCTTATACCTTCCACACATGTAACTCTATATCTATAGAGTAAATTTATTAGAATTATTACAGAGCTTTAAATGCAACCACAATCAATTCAGGAAACAGATTTATTTACTCGTGTTCATGGGAGGAAAATCTACATAAAAACATTCATGAAAGCATACCAGCTATGTCATACTTGGATTATTATACTAAATCCCATTTATTAGAACTCATTGTAAAACAATGGGAAACCATGAAATGTAATTTGAATACAAATATTGGTCCCTGCAGGGTCTCAACAGTTGTAAAAATATAGGAAAACAGAGCTTTCTTTAATATTGGAGCTGCTCATGTCTAAAGTTGTTTTTCTGAAGCTGGCCTTACCCTTTCATTTAAAGCCCTGAAGATTTTAGTGTAAACTCTTTGATGGGAGCTTCTGCGTTTCATTTTAGCCTAATGATGACCAGCAAGGAAAGTGACATCATTGACCGCATTTTCTATATGGAGGAAGGTTTAGAACGACTTTGTTCACTCATTTGCCCCCACACAGGCACCAGTTGGGCTTTCTAGTAGATATACAAAGAAGAATAATGGGAATTTTAAGTTGGGTCTGTATTTTTTCCTTAGGCAAGTGTATAGTTATTCATTCCTTTTGTGATTTAAATTTTTTTCATGTAAGGTAAATAAGGAAATATTAAATAGTTTAAAGTTATTTTTATAGGACAATATATTTCATAGGTTAACATAAAATCAAGCTGCTAAATTTTACAATTTTTCTGTCCAGCAGTTTATCTATATAACTGCCCTGAGTAGATGCTAATGCTGCTTAGCAGACGGCCCTTAGAATTTAAATATAACTCAGTAAAGCTACTCAAAAGATTTAACGATTCTTCTCAGGTATCTGTCATTTCAATTAAAAGAAGATAGGAGTCTCTCATTGGTTAAATATTATCTGCGTATTTACGTTTCATACTTCATATAAATGGGGTTATTAAGGAGTTTTAACTGTGCTTGTTACTATGCATTGGAGTCCATATGAAGCTTTTTTTTTATTTTTTGGTCAAAAAGGCAGGATTTTAAAGACTAAAACGTTCTGTTTATTGGAGTCTTGAAATAATACCTTTTAGAAAAGTGTAGATTGTTCCCTTGTGAAAATGAGTTTCGTGCAACCTCTCAGAATCTCAGTTTATGTAAAGAAGCCTGTATTTCAAATCCGTTGCTCTAATCTGTAGATTGTAGTGCATTTCAAAATTGTACAAATGTGTAAAATTTGTGCTTGTGGAAACTGCTGCTCTGAGTAGCTGTACTTTCCTTAATTTAATCCTCGCAATCCTCAAGCTATTGCATGCCCCGTTCATGAAAGGATACTTCACTGGGAATGATGTAGCCTAAACAATTGTCTCTCAAGCCTCCTTATCTAGCGCTTCCCTTAAAATTATATTAATTTATAATATATATTGAATGATAGCTTTACAAAAACAAATTCATGAATTGGTCTTTATGAAAATGACTCTTTCCAGTAAGTAAAAAAGGGTTATCACAGTTTTGGTAACTTGCATGAGTTCGTGTTGAAAAAAAAAACAAAAAAGAAAAACACAAAAAACCTTTCACATGTTCTTAATGACTTTAAAACTGATGTGCTCTAGGGGCACACTCAGTTGTATGCTCTGAAGCAGTAGACACCGTACAGCTTATGCTTTTTATCTGGGAACCCCACGAAGCGCACGGCAGCCTCGGTGGGACTGCAGCGTCTCCTCGGCCTCGAGATGGGGTAGCGGACGCTGCCATCCGCCAGCCAGCCCGCATCGCAGCGGTCATATCCCAGAAGTTTCCAGGCAGCGAAGATCTGGCCCACTTTTGCGATCTGAGCACCATCGTTGAGACAAGCCTGCACCGCTTCGTCGTAGGTCAGCTTGGTGGGGTGGATCAGGTAGTAAAACCGGCCTGTGGAGAGAAGCAGAGAGAGTCAGGGGGCCTGTCTGCCCCTGAGCCGCCCGGAGATGGAAGGAGCCCAAACGGAAGTGTTTCTCAGGGAAGGGGGAGATGCAGTGTCTGTCAAGTTCGGGGAACATAGGGTTGTCAGTTCAACGTAGCGCCCCTCGGTCATTCTCCCATTAAATTAGTTTTTTCCTTGCCCCTTAATATGTGTTCAGACATGCCCTTTTATAGCTTTGAAACCGAGAAGGGAAATGACAGATGCGGTTTCTGTTAGCTAATTAGTGACTAAAAGGGCCCTTCTGTAGTACCAGAGAAGACAGAATTCCATGTTAAAAGCAAGAGCTATTTAAATTCTAGTTGTAGCAAGACTGAACCCCAGCACAAGTTTCTGGAGAGGCAAAATTTGAATGTGAAAAGATCAAAAAACATTCCTGACATAAAAGTCCATTTAAAAAAAATCAAAAGCCCTCAAGTCCTTTTCATTACAGGTATCAATAAGACATTATTCTGATTCAAAGACTACAGTATGAAAATGCAAAAAATACAGGAAGTCACTTGCCATAAGTAATGCAGACTCAGAATGTGAACCCAGTCTGTTCAGTTACTAGCAAAGAGGATGAATTTATTTATTCAGCGGGAGCCCTGACACCTAACCATTTCTTGATTGCCCAAGAAAGAGCGAATTAGTCTTAACCACGCATTGAATAAAAATTACTGAACTACCTTCAGTGTATATTAAAGATGCATACAGCGTATAAAGTATGGCATCAACTGGCTGAAGTGCTACACTGAAGATTTTCTCAGACTTTGAGTCTCAGGTAGACTATAATCAGAATCTCTTACCTGATTACACATTGTAATGGGATGTCTCCTCGCCCTCCATTACATATAGATTACTGAAGTATAAATTAATGCTGGCCAGTTCTTTCTGGCAAGACTAAGACAATGTGATTTGGAGGATCAGTAGAGGCCACTGGAACATGAGTTAGAAGGTTGGCTCTCTCATCCATACCAGAGGTCCGCAAACTACAGCACAGGAGTCATCAGAAGTTTTGTTAAAACACAGCCGTACCCATCCGTTTAATACAGTCTGTGGCCGTTTTGCATTTTACAACATACAGAGCTACATTGAGTAGTTACGACAGAGACCGCGTGGCCCACAGAGCCAAAGATACTTATCATCTGGCCCTTTACAGAAAGTTGGTTCATCCCTGATCCCTTGCTATTTTTCCCAAAGCATGTCGCCAGGGAACTGAAATAGAAAATGATGGGGCCGGGGTTTGCTTTATGGGCGTGTGACTTGGGCAGTTACACAGGGCCCCACGTGTGTTGAAGGTGCTGCTGTCACCATCTTAAAATTCATAGTTTTTGGACAAGGAACCCATGTTCTCATTCTGCACTGGGCCCCACAAATTGTGTGGCTTGTTCTGGATAGGGCAAGACAGGGTTGGGAGTTACACTGAAGGCAGCAGATCAATCATCAACACGGAGGCAACCTGGATCTCTTTTCTTCTGCTTTCATCTCCAGTGTTATTGCTACTTATTTTTTTTTTTTTTTGCAAAGTTCTCTTTACTCTGAGCTTTCTCTTTATTGGAGTTTTGCTGATCAACTATGAACATAATCGACTTTGTAATTTCGAGAAGGAGAGCGTGACGTAGAAGCTACTCTCACTTCCATTAAGAGATCTGTATCCCAGGGCACACATCTCTATCACACACAGTGGCAGCATCATCTTTGTCAATAAGAAACAGACCCCATAGAATATCTCAATTTAAACTATTTTATAACTATAATCGGATGCAATAACACCTAGGAATAGTGGAAATACGCACTTTTGCTCATGTGGGTATTTTTAAAACTTACGACATTAAAGAACATTGCATCTTTTCAAACTAAGGGCAGTACGTCAAAGCCATGTTCTTTTCTTTTTTAAGTAGATAAGATTAAAAACTGAGTGTGGTGTTACAGTACGTATTGGTCCCCAGGACAGGAAAGAAGGCAGTACAGTTAATAACTTACCGTTGAAGTTAGATGTAAAACAGAAAACATCGTATCTGCTTTTGTCTTTATCCCAAAACCCGTAGTTCCTGACACCGGGCACCGTGTTCTGGCCTCCACAAGGCTCTCTGGGCTTTGTGATGGGATACTGCACAGACCCATCACTGAGCCAGCCGGCGTTGCACCAGTCCAGCCCGCCCCGCCAGGCATTGTAAAGCTGGTCGAAGGAAGCAATCACAGCATCCTGGTCCAGACAAGCCTGCTGTGCCTCGTGGAAATTGAGATTGTAGCGCCCCAGTCGTGGAAAGTAAGGGAATACCACACCTGTCCAAAGGAGAGACCGAGGGATTAGTGGTACAGAAAGTACCAACTGTGAGCAAATGTCGCTTGACTGGTGAAAACATAATAGAATCTCCAGCAGATGAAGTTGCGGGTTTTGGTCAACTTGCAGTGGTTTCTCGTGGTCCCTTTCCCCTACAAACAACCTCTCGGCTCCGTGCATCTCACAGTGAGGTATGCAGTTTGATGACCTCAGTGATTTACCCTTTCGCTAAGAGTTCAATACAAGCCTTAAAAATTCTCCTTTCTGGAATGATTCACCCATAGGTTATCTTTTTCAAATAGCCTCCTTGAGAATTTACCTTCTGCTACTTCTGTTAATAACCTTAAAATGGATTACTACTGAGTCCTTTTCAGCTAGGAAAAAGTCAATAATGAATACTAATAGTGGTGGAGGATGTAGAAACAGTGCTCAGAGAGAAGGTATTTATCAGGATTCTCCATGTTTTTTCTTAGTAGTTATTCTTACATAATTACTAATTAGCTTAGGATAGCCTTTCATTTTTTTATTTGTTTTTTTTAAAGACTTTATTTATTTAAAGAGACAGTACCATGGGTGGGGGAGCAAAAGGAGAGGGGGAGAGAGAATCTCAAGCAGACTTCATGGCGCAGAGCATAGTGCAGACTCAGGATTTGATCCCAAGACACTGAGATCGTGACTTGAGCCAAAATTCAGAGTTGGATGCTTAACCAACTGAGCCACATAGGTGCCCCACTTAGGATAGCCTTTTAAATATATAAACAAATATGGTAACAAATGATTGAAATGTAGATACATATTTTCTTTTACACATGCTCCTAAAAACTTACTTATCTAAGTAACTTTCACTTAGGAGGTTTCTTACTTGGAGAAACTCCAAAGTGAGTTTATATATTTAACAGAAACCTAATTAAGCAGCCTTATTTCATATTAATAAGCCAGTTCTTTACAGTGGGGGCATACCTCACTTCATATTCCATTAAGGGTCTCCTGGCTCTGTTATCCATTTCAACTTTTAAGGGTAGCCCTTAATCTTATTTTTTTTCTGTCCTTGAACAGTACAACCAAAATGAGGGCTTTCATTTAAAAATAATTCTTCAGCTTCCATATTCATATGTGGCCAACTGAAACCAGCTTTTAAAAACACTTTTATTACAAAAAAAAAAAAGCCCTTCCCAAAGCTTGTCCTAAACAAGGTGGATACAGCATAAACATCAGTTGAGTTAATGCCAAAGAATTAAGTTAACTATTTGGGCAAAAACCCTTAACAAATGTGAACAGTGTGACTTGGCACTTGACTTTGCCTGGGAAGATGCAATGGCTTCCCCAAAGCATTCTTTTTGGTCAAATAATCACTGGAGGTGACTGAGCCACCTTCTGACTTTCTGTGCATTTTCTCGAACCGCTAAGAATTACATCATCAGAAAGCAAACTTGTATCATTTGCTGGACTTTCAGAAGGACCCCTGCATCAAAATGTCTCCCCATAAAAGACAGAGTGGTTAGTCAAGGCCTTGCCTTGGATTTTTGGTTATAATTAGAAATAATTAATACTTTAGCTTGTGGAATATAAACAATTGTCCCACTGACACAGTAATTTGGTGGGTTATATCACAAGTGCTGTTTTATGAGACCGCAGACCCTATTCAAGATGAATGTACAATTCACTCATCGTGTAACCAGGACACGGGAAATGTTTTCTTTTATAAATTGTCCTGGAAGACTCTACAAGAAGAAAGCCTACATCAAGTCGTGTCCCCCCAAGGCCTCCGCAGGACACGTTAGTCCCTCTGGGGCAGTCCAGCTGGCACGGTTCCGTAAGAGGCAGGGATCCAGGAAGGCTTCCTGATCTCATCCTGCCTTCTCAGGTTCTTGGCTGAGGGATCTATAAGCTGAATCAGCGCCAAAAGGAAGGAGGAAAAAACTCGCTCAGTTGCCATGGCCCCCTGCAGTGATGGGGGTGAAGGGGAGCCTGAGATGGTTCTATCTAAGAAGAGCTATTTCCAGGCATCCAGCTAAGAACCCAGTTAGCGCTGGGAAGGAACTGCTGTAGCTCTCCCTGTCCCCTCATGCCTTTCATCCTCTTTCCCCAGAACCCCAGCAATGCCAGTGAAAATAAAAATATTTAATTCATCCAAAAGAGATTTCCTTGGCAGCTAGACTCCAAGTGAGAGAAAAATCTCAAAGTGTTTCAATCTGGAGAGAGAAACCATTTGGGTTGGATTCCGTTTCCCAAATGTCTCAAGAAGGGAACAGTGGAGACCGCAGGATATTTTAATTTACAAAGATTTTCAAGACCTAGACAGCCTTTCTGGTTTAAACTCACTGTGGTGTTATTTGGTGGACTCTCATGGGCATTAGGAAAAAATTTTCTTGAGTAGTTCGTTCTTGATTAACCATTGAATGTTACTGAACCATGATTGATTTAGCTCCAAATTCAGTGTAATGTATTTTTAAGTTCCTTTCAAATTTAACATAATTTCATGCAAACATTTCTTAAAGTCATAGTGAAACCCAGTACCGAAACTTCATTATTTTTCATTTGTAGAAATGAATTGTCAACTTATCATTATGTTAATTCAAAATATTTACTTGAATTTTAATTAATGTTTGATGATTATGGAAAGAATACATCCCAAGTAAATCAAGGTCATTTTCTGTGTTTCAGCCAGAGTTGTAAAAGTTTCACTGTACTGTGCACATTTGGTGCACACATTTCAATAATCAGATGTTTCTTACAAGCTGGGGCATTTCTGGAACTGCATGTTTGTTAGTATTTTATTTATTTACTTATTTTACTTCCAGAGAGTTAAGATTTCAACATCTAAGACTATAATTGCAGAAATCTGTCTCTGTGGAAAAACGTGCACTTCCTGCAGCTGAATTATGGAGCGAATGTTTATTGCTTTCATCCAGCATTACAAAAATACAAGTTAAACTTCCATCGGTGAAAACAAAGGGCATGTGATTATTTTCCAAGTATGATTATTTTATACTCATATGTCAAAATGTAATCAAAAGTTGTTTCTTTTCCCATGAAGGGCTGGTATGCATCACAACAAAGGGAATTAATAAGGATGATCTATTGTATGGAAAAGAATGTGAGTAATTTAGTCAGTAGAAATATGTTTTGAAAACATGCTCTTTAATATTTATAATTGCACAGTCCAATTCATCCTAGTTGTTGGCAAATATCAATTTGTTAGACATCCAAAAGATGTCCATACCGTAGCCCATATGAAAGCTAACGTAAATTTCAGTAACTTGAGTAATAGAAAGACACCACGGAGTATAATTTTACCTTCCTCAGTGCCCCTTCTATTGCGTATCAGTGCTATACACATATCTGATTTTTTTTCTATTTCTAAAAGCTCTCAGACTATATTTTTGTGTATCTAGCCCCATTTTCACCAGCAGAAAACCAATACAATGGGAGATTGGGAAAAAAGTATCACTTTGTTGTATCCTTATTTATTTAATTGCTGAAATGAATTCTGTAGACCAAGCTTCTCATTAATTTCCAGTGACCTGAATCTCTTTGTTATAGTCACATAAGGCTAGTCTTGTTGGGTGTTGTTTCTAGCAGTGTGGGTGGGTAATTGGTAGTAATCAGAGGGTGTTACCCTATTGAAGATTCTATACAAAAAAAATTGTTTCCACAGCTAACTCCAACTCACATGTAGTTCAGTCTTTCAGAAAATCTTACCATTTTTTTTATCAGTATGATTAAAAAAAAATTCAAAAAAATTTTGTATGAGTATGATTCAATAAAAAAAGAAACAATTCTTAAGTCACAGCTAAGAGTAAGGCACTGTGCTGGGTGCTCTAGAATACAGGTTTGGGGTGTGGCCTGTTCCTTCAAAGGGCCCATAATTTGATATGCAAACTATATATATATATATGTATATATTAGTTTGAATCCAAGACAGAATAAAATCTTGTACTATAAATACAAACCATATAATTTGGACATCTTAAGAATGATTTTTTTTCCTAATTGGAAAAATTCTTTGGAGAACATAGCATTCAGCATGTATTAAAGGACCAATATAATTTAGAACATTGTACAAGGACAGCTGAAAAACCATCATCATGACATTTAAAATGACATGCTTCCCTGGCCTTATTTATGTACATTAGAAGATTGACAAGGAGTTTGAGTGAAACTTGCCTGATGGTCACATGTAAGAATGTAACTGATAATGAAAAAACGTAAAAAAGTGGGTTGGAGCTATTAAGGGATAACCACAAAATCTCTTTTGCCACGTAGTCCGTAAACTCTTAGGTATATAATCACTGCACCTTGCTCATCTGTCCCAGACTATGTGGAAATTACCAAGTCACTTTCAATGTCCATCCTCAGGTTAGCAACCAAGCTTCTTCAAATGCTATTCTACAGTGACTATCTTAAAAATTTTTTTTGCAATTTCATTTAAAAACATGAGTCCTTATCTCATATTGCAGCATATCTAGAGAAAATAATAGGCTGAGTTTTTCTTGAACATTATTCAGTGCAAGTGGGATTATAGAAAGCAAGATAAAATAAGGTGTCTTTATCATGATAACTTTTGAAGCTGGACAATGGTATACGGGGATTCAGTATATGAGTCTTTCTATTTTTCCAGATGTTTGAAATTGGCTATGATACAAATTTTTATCTTATCCCATTGCCAAGCTGAGAGCCTTAAACCAGTCCATGTGGATGCAGACTGTCTATGGCTCTGTTGTTCACATTTTTTCCCTTGAGAATCTTTCTCTCAACCCCATGATGTCCTGTCCCTTGCTTTTTCACACTCTCTACCTTCGGAAGGACCAGGTTCACCTTCCATGGCCCAAATCAAGTGTGCCTTCCTTTGCGGGCCTTTCCATAGCCTCTCCATGGTGTGCATGTTTTGTCTGTGTATTCGAAAGTTTTAACCCATTGTATCCAACATTCAATCACTTGTAAACTCTTTACTGAGCACTAACTTTGTTCTTGGTCCCTGACTACCTTCGAGTAGATTGTAGTTAACGGGTGGAGAGGGCAAGTTGGCAAACCTTTACAAAACAAAGTGTGATGAGAGCTATAATGGAAATCTCTGTAAGGTGCTTGGAGAGCATCATGGCTGTGAAGCGGAACTCGGATCTTACTCTTTGAAGATTTGTATTTTATTCAGTTGTTCAGAAATGGATTCATGTGTATAATGCTACATGTTAAAATGTTAGCTATTTCAAGGCAGGCCCTCTGGCTAATGACTGCTTCTACACTTTCTACAGCACACAAGACAGATGGAAAAGCACGACCTGCTGGGAGGGGAATGGAAGCGCTACCATGAGCGCACCAGTTAATGCCATGTGACCAAAAGACAGCCCGTAGGTTGTCACCCACGTCCCTCTGGGGCCGTTAAGAATCTCCTGCAGCTGGTGGCTGCCCTTCTGCCTGTTTAAAGGCTCTGGTCTTCTTTCCACTGGAGAATCTCTCCTTCCTGTGAGCCCCCAGATCACAGTGGATAAAAGCATAGGCTTCTTCCATTGTTCTTGGTATCAGATTCCAGTTCTAGCTCTTACTAGTGGCCACGTTACCTTAGAAAAGGAGTCCTCCCTGAGTCTCATCTGTCGGGGGGGGGGTTCCTGAAAGTGAGCTTAGCATAGTGCATGGGATTATAGCAACTGCTTTGTACCCACTTACTTTATAACCAAATTCTACCTCATTTACTTTATTTATTGTATCTGAAGTGTAGTTGTCCTGCAAGATAATAATTTCTGCCTTATTTTAAAATTCTTACTCTTGAAAGTATATTAGAATCTTTAGTAGCCTGTCAGACTATTGAATGAAAAAAAACCAAGATTTGGAAATCTTCATAACTCCTGGCACTGAAACAGTACTTATAAAAATATTTATCAATTAAAATGGTTTCTTGGACGCATTTCCTTGGCTTATATGCTAATGGGTTATATGGTAGGGAAGTGTTCCAATGGCATGGTAAACGTGGTGATTTGGGATGGTGAAGGGCCTAGGCAGGAAAAAGTTACTCTTTTTACAGTTTTTCTTCAACACCTCTAATTATGTCTCGAATACAATCTCAGTTTGACCTTGGAGTGCATCATCTTCTGACACATTGTAAATCTCCTTTTTAAACAAAGGTATAGCAGGCTCCATGCTCAAAGCTATTAGCAAGCAGGTATCCAGGTGGAATATGGAAGTATCTTATATTCATTGTATTTATTTTTATGGTTCCCTTCTATTTCTGGCAAGTTCTACTGCTTTCTATTCACTTAAAATTTCATTTTAAAATAAATGTAGGGAGACAGTAAATATGGCAGGTGAATTACTTAGGTTTAGGAAATACACGGTATATAAACAGAATTTTAGATGAAAAAATAACTGAACAGGTAATAAATATAGTTCAACCTGTTATTCATAGATGAGGAAGCCAGGTATAAGGATTAAGTAACCTGCCCCAGTTACAAAACTCATACTGGTAGAGTTGGGACTAACATAAGAGTCTTAGTCGGTACTACTAGCTTGAGGGTCTGTCCACTGCCTGATGCCCCTTTGATCAAGAAAATCGGCTGTCATTAATATTTGATGATTAACTGTTTTCTCTAAGCCCATCACTTCTTTCATCTTGAATAATGCCAATGTTTATGGCTATTCATGTGACTCAATAAAAACTGAAAGTACAAGGTGGTATGTAGTCAGGAGCCAAGAACTACAACTAAGAGAGACAAGAGAAAGAAGGAGAGACAGGAGAAGGTCACAAAAATGTATTTTATGACATCGTGCAATTTATTAGATACATAAAGCTAATAAATCTCCATACGTGTGATGGGATTCTGTGGGATTCAGAAGGTCAACTCTTCAGTGATACTCTAGTGGACCAAACAGATTCTTTTCCAAAGGCACAAATCTGTTCTAGGATGTGAAAGGAGCTTCTAGCAAACACACACCTATAGTTTATGTGCATAAGGAAGGAAAGTATTCTATCAATGTTGCCAAAAAAATTCATCCTTCAGTGTAGAGAAACATTGAAATTCATGAATATAAGATGTTTTGAGATGCATGAGAAACAGAGAAGAGTTTCCCTCTTGGTGGGGCATATAGAGGGTGGGCTTTGGGCAGCAAGCACACTTTATTGTTTAGCATTCTCTACATTTTGGTTTTTGAACCTACTGAGTAGATTACATACTTAGGAAAAAAAATTCCCCCAGAATGCCTATATTGTTTGGTATTTTGTGTCTAAAAGACTCTGGACCACTAAAAGAGTTTACTTCTTTACTTACTTATTTAAATAAACTTGGAGGGCACTCTTTTGTTATGATTTCACAGTTACTTTATAGAATACAATTACACGTATTTTAGTTAGCAGATGTCCTTCACAAAAGTTGCCGTTATTTTGAAACTGAGATAATTTTAGAAGCATAATAAAAATGCATCCTATCTGAATTTCTCCATAACCATGTCATAAGATTTAAATTTTGAATAGCATAAGGCAGTTTCCAAATATTAGGAATTCAGTTCCACTGCACGTTTCTCCTACTTGCAAATAGCTTCAATTTTGTGTATAACCATTGTGCGTACATTTCAAATATGAAAGCTGGAATCATTGACAGACTGCAAAATACAAAAGAAAAGAAACCCGCTATGCATGGACTTCTGATTTCTCACATTATCACTATGGTAACCACTAGACATTACTTGTCATGAAAAATGATTAATTATCATTTCCAAGTTTAAAATGATTTATAGACACCTACCTTGTAAATCTAATGCTACCACAGCAGTGTCATCTTCTAATCCTTCAATCACCTCACACTTATATTTCCCATAATCCTCCAGGGTGAGGTCTGAGATCACCAGAGAAGCATCGTTATCACTGCCTCCCTTCAGAAACACTCTACCCTGGTAGCCTCCATAGGTTTTCTTGTGATATCCCATGGAAACGAAAACGTCCACTTCCTTGAGGTAATCTGAAGTTAGCTTGGTCCACTTAATTCGGATCTTGTGGGTTCCTGAGCCAAATGCTGTAGGGTCTCGATAAAATTTACATGGCAGTGTAACATTGCCACCTCTGTATGAGAACACCCTGGCTTGTTCTGCTTCCACGAGTAGACGGCGGCCATTTTCTGCTATAATTAAAAAAAAAAAAACACATTAATATGCTCTTAAATAAAATGAAATGTGCTACCCATACAGGGTAGCTGACAAAGAGTAGCATTGGGTGATAAGTTTCTCTGCATTCTTGAACAGTAATATTTTTTGAACCACATAGAAAGGTACCTCTAATACCTAGAGGGCACCTACAAGGTAGTCATGTCTTTTAAACCACTGATAAAAAGAAGGATGTTAATTACAATAATTGAAAATTACTGAATATAAAACTCCACAGTCATCAAAGTTTGATAACAACAAATTCTATTTTTTTCCTACATTTAAATATCAAAGATGCTGAATCAAGACCAAGTGAAATGACATAGTTTATGATGAATTTCATCAATACAAACCAAAAAATTTCAAGGTAGGCAAATTTCTCTTCCCACCTGAGCTTTCTAATACAATAAATCTCTATTTTATTTACAGCAAAATTATAAAGCAACATGATCAATTTTCGTCCTATTCTGGCCAAAGAACTTAGAGTATCCTCACATTTGTGGTTTCTATTCAAATATACACTTGTGATATGCCATTTTGGAGCAATTCAAGCAGTATGTATGTATTTTATTTTCACACAAAGTAGACATCAGAAAGGTACTTTTAGCCAATGCTTAAAAAAAAAAAAAAAACCCAAAACTCCAGGTTTTGAAATATATTCCTCAAAACTTAATTGCTAAAAGTATATCCAAAGTTATATTTATTTCCTGATTAACCACGTAATTATTTGTTTCTTTGTTCCCTTAAGTCTTTCTACCCTTTGTCTTTGCTTTCCGCTACACTTGTTTTATAGTCTATCTTCTCGCTCCCACCTTTTTCTTCCTTGCCCTTCAGTTTCCCTCCTCCCTCCTCCAAGAATGAGCTAGCTTTCCAGACAGCACTGCAATAGTCCAATCCTGCCGGGTCAGTGGGGCTGCCGTTCTCCAGGGAGCCAGCTGTGCTTGTCACATCTTGGCTTTCTCTGGGGTTTCCCCCAGTTAGCTTATTGTGCTTTCGACCTTGACAAGGTGTCCTGGGGATGTGCAAGATTTGAAAATGAGAAAGCAATATAAAAACTCCTGGACACAGACGCACCTTCGCATCTACACACAGCTTTTGAAGCTTGCCAAAAGCTGCCTTTCATGAAGCCCTGCAGTCCTTCCTGCCTGGGGCAGGTAGGGACTGAGTGAATCTTGGCCGTGAATCATTTAGGATACACAGCTCAGGAAGAGTACCCACTCACCTCCGGACAGATCCCATAACTTAACTTAGTTAACGGCGTACACAGGATTCAGATTTTAAAGTAAGAAGTGTCCAAAAATAGATGCAGTGGTTATATTTTTAACATACAGCAATCAGAATGAGTATTTTAAAATGGCCATATTTCATTTATAAGTCAGCCCCAATCCTCAGAAACTGAAAAGTTTAACAAAGCCATTAATGTCCCCTCTTAAAATAGATAATAAAATAAGAGGATAATGGCTTAATTAAAATGAATCATAAATCCAGCTCATTAAGCAACTCCTTTATATCTTATTCTTTATCTTTTTATTTAGGATCATAGAATCATAAGGGATGAAAGGTAAATCTCTCCAACTCTACCCTACCTGTTATCTTCCCCCTTCAATATCCCTAATGACTGCGTCCACGTGTCCTCTTTCCAGGAGGAGGAAAGTGCTGTAGACTGCTCAGTAATGCCTGAAGGTTGTAGGGAACAGCTCCTACCTGGTACCTGGAAGGACACTTCCAAGGCCTGAGCTGAGACCTGACACAGAGCTTCAGGAGGTTGTAGTTTCATGATGCTCACAAGATTTTTACTTTAAAGTCAAAACTAATATCCAAGTCCACAGGGATAAGGGGCATTATAGTAGTTAGGAACAAGGGTTGCAATGTGATACCTTGTTATAACCTCACCTCCTCAATTTACTAGCCCTGTAGCCTTGAGCAAGTTGTGCAACCTCTAAGCTCCAATTTCTTTATATGTGAATTAGGGGTAGTAGCATCTATCATATATAGCTGACCTCATAGACACAGAGCACTTAGAATCATGTCTGATCAAAAGCTACGCATGCACTCACAGCTAACTGTTCCTACTGCATAGGTCTTCCAGTTTTTCTCAAATACGATACTGCCTGATAACGAGGATAATTTTGGCATACGTTAACCTTCCACTTTCTTATAAAGCTTTAAATTCTGTGGGGTGAAAAATACATAAAATGCCACCTGTGTTATAAAGGAGATGTAGAAATTATTCTGTGGTTTCACATAATCATAAGGTGTTCCAGAATGAATAGAAGGCCTGAGTTGTTTCATAAATTAAAGAGTTAAAGCAAAGATCAAAGGTCTTGTGCAAGGGATGGGACTTCTAATTTTTTTTCTGTGGTTTACTGTACCTCATCTTGTAGTATTTTAGTAGTGTAGCCTTCTGATTTTTTTAGGTGATTTTTTTTTTATGAGTAGATGATGACTTATGTGGTATAATATTGAGAATAGAGCAGATACCAAAAATCCACTGATTTCCCACAAAATAATTTTTCTAACAGGGCTGCCAGAATGTATAAAATTCTGCCATTCTTATTTTTTTGGTGGGGGGGCTGTGGCGTGGAAGTAATCAATGCCATAAGTGCATGGCTGAAAGCCATCAGTGTTCATGAATCTAAACCACCAGCATGGCATTGAGAACAATGTTTTTTGTTGGTTTGTTTGTATTTAGAAGATCGACACTGCAGATCATACAGCACTGAGCATTTTGTCAAGAGTGGCCTGTTGCAGAACAAAGAAGACATAGGAGGGAGCACTGGTCAGTGAGTCAGGATCTTTGGGTGTTTCACTGACTGGTCTGCCTCATGGAAACATTGACTTTGGGATTTTTGTCAGGTTCCCCATGGTGGGTAGTCATGATGGGGATGAGCCAGTAAACACATCAGCTGGAGAGGGGAGAGGGCAGGGACAAAGAGCAGAAAAGGGAACTGAGCATGAGTGCCGATGACCAACTTTGCACCCGGCTTGCCTAGAGTAAGTCTCGAATCTCATCTTTGGATGCAAATACTTAAGCAGTTTGAAAGTAATGTTTAAATCAACCTGTTTGATCAATAGGCAGTTGCAAAACAAATAAAATGCAAAAGATAAAAATACAACTCAATCATCAGAATGAGCACTGCTTGTTTTTCTTTTTTTTTTAATAAAAAATAGAAAAAATTAGGCAGCATACATATGCTCATTTTGGAAGGACTGGATTTTTTAATTTATTTTTTACTGTTTTTTTTTAATTATGTTAATTACCATACATTACATCATTAGCTTCTGATGTAGTGTTCCATGATTCATTGTTTGCGTATAACACCCAGTGCTCCATTCAGTACGTGCCCTCTTTAATACCCATCACCAGGCTAACCCAGCTCCCCACGCCCCTCCCCTCTAGAACTCTCAGTTTGTTTCTCA